TATAGCCGTCCCGCGGTAAGTCGGCGGAAGCCTGACGCTCTTTGGCCTCGCTCCCCTCGGCGAGCGCTGGCCAGCAGCCCCTAGGGCCACGAGGTTTGCGTGTCGTGCCTTGTTCTGACTCCCCGACCTAAACCAGCACACGGGTTTCCGGCAAACAAACGGGATGAAAATCGTCAAATAAAAGGGCAGGGGTGTGGTGCTTGCGTGAACCCGACCTAACCAGCATGCGGTCGGCAAACACGCAGGAGAAAAATCATCAAAAATGGAAGTATTACTGATTTTTTTTGTTTGGAAGACAAGTTGGAGCCAATCACCACAGGAGGAGGAAATGTGGAAAAAAAAAAAAAATCCAACAAAGCAGCAGCAGCAGCATTATAGTGGTGGTTTGTCCCGATATACCGTACCGCGGTCCCGAATAGCGTGGTTTCCGATACATCGAGGTAAAAAAAAACTGGCACAACAACCACTGATTACTGGTACTAGTCCTTTCGCCCATACCTCGGGTCTCGATATCACGCGGTAATTTTTTTCTGTCACTACGCCCCGATAGATATATTGCGCCCCCACCACTAAAAAAAAAAAAAAAAAAAAAACACACACACACCAACACTTGTAGTCTACGACATCTACGCATCTCACTGCTGCATCGGGACCACTATTATAGTGTCCTGCTGTTGCTTCCTCCTACATGACCACTAACGTGTGCGTCAAACGTACACCGAGAGTCGTAGACTGGCGCCCGGAACAAGTGGGACGAAAACGCAACAAATCCGCAGCGAGAAACAAAAGGCTGCGGGCCTCATGCACTGCAGAGGGAAGGTGGAAAAGGCAAAACAAAAACTCAAGTATATCTCCTGCGTGACCCTGGCTGACATACGACACATTCCGAAAGGAATTCAAGCTCACGTCTGGAACAAATGGGGCGACACACAAGCCTAGAAAGCGCAATCGAACCCCATCATGGCCACGTAAGACCAGCCGCTGTTCATTGGTCAGAGGGCTAATCGGGGTGTATGTCGCCGAGGTATTATAGTTGAAGAAGACACAGACATAAGACACCATGCACAGACACAAGACATCATGCATCCCCTCAGGATTAGGCACTTGTTGATGCTGAAACAGACGAGGACGCTACTGTAAGCGCGATGCTAGTCAAATAAAACAAACACACACAAACGGTCAGCGCGGTCGATGCCAATTAAGAACAAAACACAAAACACACCTCATGCGCCCCCTTAGGATCGGGCACTTGTTAATGCTGAAAGCCACAAGGACCCAGTTCTCTCCGAACTGCTGCACCGCGCTGACGAGGAGGGTATCCTCCTGCGGTATTTTGTTGGTTCCACACGGCGGACGGTGGACGGTGGTGATTCAGGAGCACTCACAGCGGCAACAAAAACAACCAACACAACACCATCACCAAAAACATCAACAGCAGCATTTCCCCTTAACAAAGCAACACGAGTAAACGAGAAAATCAACAGAATTGAAACATGTGACACATTTTTTTCAACGGCGAGCTTTGGTAGGGGTACTTGTATACTCGTCCCCCCCTAGACGGTCGTCGGGGTGGAGCGATAGGGTGGAGCGATAACTCGCACTCTCATTTAACGCCAATCCGTTGACACTACCATGTGGTCTTAAAAGCGCCAATAACGGCATGGTAATGTCAGCGGTCTTACACAACACAAAACAGTGATCACTACAGCAGTCTTACACAACACAGCACAAAGGCGCGAAACACACAACATATTCTGCTGATAACCCAAAGAAAGATGGCCGGAAAAACTCACCATCTTGGTCCACTCCTCCACGCTAGTCTTGTTCCTCCTCCCCGCCCCGGGCTGCTCGCCCTCTCTCCTGCTCGACTCCCGTGGGGACAACGCCTGTTCGGAGTTCCAACCCCGGGGATGGGCAACCCCGTTTGAGCGTTTGAGTGTAACTTGGACATTGTTGGCATATCAACGTCAAATGTGTACAATCTCGCCACAGTTGGTTGTGATGAGCAACCCCGTTCGCGTGAAAAAAGGTCAATGTATGTGGATCAAAGACATGTATGGATCTCGCCAAAAAATTAAGGCGTAGCCCCGTTTGAATGTAAAGCGACCACTGTGTCGTGTATCAACAATAATTATTGATGTTGTTGTTGTCTTCATCTGTCTGTACTTTGTCTATGCCTTCGCCAAACCAAGGGCTGAAACACTGCAATAAACTGTTTGATTAATGAACACAAGTATGCAAAATATGCTGGCCATCGATTTCTCAGATCGAGGCTCAAAATTTCTACCGAAGGGGGGGAAAAACGATGCTTCCATTTTCAGCAAAACGAAAAAGAGATCGAAAGCGCGACGAAGTTCATCCGAATTCGATACAAGTGCGAGAGACGGGTTAGCAAAGAGGTCTTGTCGTCTGGACATATCGATTGTCTTGCCAAGAAACAAGGGCGTTTACAAAATCAACCCTCAATACCCAAATGCATAATCATAATAAGACTGCTGTACATGCAACATCACTGCGACCCTACGTGTAACTGCCAACTGCAGCGTCAAACGTAACGAAAAGAGAAAATGACGATGCATACGTAGCAGTCAGAAAATAGATGAGACAAATAAGACTGCTGTACATGCAACATCACTGCGACCTTACGTGTAACTGCCAACTGTAGCGTCAAACGTAACGAAAAAAGAGAAAAAACACGATGCATATGTATAGCAGTCACAAAAACTAAATGGGACGGGGGAAAAAACAATCGCGAAAATGTGGGGTGCAATCGGTACATCTCGCTTCTTCTCCAAGCTTCGAAGAAATTGGTAGAAAGACGTACCTTCTTGAGCTTCTTGTTCCGATTGGAGGGGAGTCTGTCCACATAGCTCAGGGAGCAGCTCAGGTCCTGCGGGGCGATCGACAAACATCATGGTGATACGGCAACACGCACCACGTTTCCGTTGTTAGAAGCTTAACCACATTCACGCCAACTAATTGGCGCCTCGGCTTCAACAGACCACATTCACGCCAACTAATTGGCGCCTCGGCTTCAACAGACCACATTTACGCCAACTAATTGGCGCCTCGGCTTCAACAGAATCGTGAGCGATCGATGCCGTAGGACAAACATCAAAGGGAAACCATGGGAAAACAAAAAAAACACGAAAAAAAACGAAAAAACACGCACACAAACATAACATAGACCCAACCCAACCGAAACACGCAACACGGTCAGAGAAACGCCCGCAACTAAAACGGGGGACAAAAAGAAACGCCCAACACGACTCGTGTGCGTATCTTTATTGTCTGCAACGACCGCGCTACCCGGCTCACCAGTTGCAAAAACGTCAATCAATCGTCTTACGGCGGGGTACAAACCGCAAACACATGCGATCTAATGGAAGGGTTCTATCGACAGGGGGGGGGCAGGAGTTGGACGACAGTAGCAGTGTCCTGCTTCTGAAATATATAAGTTATTTCTGTGTGCGTGTTTTTTTTTTCACGCGCTTGTCTCTTTCGCCGCGTTGCGTGTTTCGGTGGGTTGTGTCTTTGTTACGTTTGTGTGTGTCTTTTGTTGTTCCAGTGACTCCCTTTTGTGATTTGTCCTACGGGTTGCTCGAACACGTAGGACAACTCGCGACAGGAAACCATTGGAACAAAAAAAAAAGCGCACACGAAACATAACACAGACGCATCCAACCGCAACACGCCACACGGCTAGAGAGAAACGCGCGAAAAAAACAACAAACAACACGCACACAGGAACAACTTATATTTCAGAAGCAGGACACTGCTACTGCCGTCGAACTCCTGCCCCGCCCTCTGTCGGCAGAACCCTTAACCCTCCATCAGAAAGCCTGTTCGCAGTTATTACCCCGCTAGAAGACTGATGGCGTCTTTTCATTGGCCAGCCGGTTACCGCGGCCGTTGCAGACAATAAAAAGAAAAAACACACACACAAAGAGTCGTGTTGGTGTTTCTTTTTATCCCCCGTGTATTTACAGACAGACGTTTCGTCACAAGGGTCAGCGGGCTAGCGCAGTCCATGCCAATTGAAAAAACCACAAACAGTTTCTTTTGCCCCCTGTTTAAAAGACCGAAGTTTTGTCAAAAAAAGGTCAGCGGGCTAGCGCAGTCGATGCCAATTGAAAAATCACAAACAGAACACGCACGTTTAGCGCACGCACGCGTGCTTGCTTACCTGCCCGAATGAGGTGCTCATCCAGCTGGGAACCTCGACGGCCTCGTTGAGCACCATGTTGTGGTCGGGAGGCATGGCGAGGTCGATGCAGGGCATGCAGTGGAGGAAGGGCTCGGGCGAGATGCCCAACAGATGCAAATCGCGGACCTGAAGCAACGACAACAACAACAACAACAACAACAACAACAACAACAACAAGACGATAAAACAAAGGCAAAGTAACGATAGATGCGGATCGCGGACCTCAAATAACGCCTACAACAACAAAAATGACACAACAAAAACAAGGGCAAAGTAACGATGTCAGCGTATGTATCCCTTCGATTGAGATATTATCTCGAACGGGTACATAGTCCTGGGTCAAGGTTAGGGTTAGGGTTAGGGTTACCGTACATGACACAAGATAACACCCCCCCTTGACCGATTTTCAAAGCTCGATTTCTCAACAGCAGGAAGAGTCACAGCGCCGAAAACGGGGGCGTTGGAACCGTCTCGTCGAGATTTGTCGAAAATGTATCGTTTCGTTTGTGCATCCTCTTCGAGCTTTGAGTAATCGAGCTTTGAAAATCGGTCCAGGGGGTGTGTTACCTTGTGTCATGTACGGTAGCTATGACAGCATGTATCTCGGCAAAGGTCCGATCGTCAGTTCTATGGAGCCTCTTCATCGTCGTCGCCATCGCAACAATAAAAACTCATGTTAACCCATGGTGCACAAAAGCAAGCACGGCTCGTACATAAAGACTACCCGGATTGTTGCGTTCTACGTTTTCGACATGTAGTCTAGGTCAACAGCGTAAACTTTGCAACTGCTGCTACATACACATTACTTTTTTTTTTATGATGCACGTTCTCTCTTAAAAAAACTCACCCTCTCCGTGAAGGAACGCCCGGGAGTTGTGGCAAGGGTGGCGTCCACGGCGTACGACAGGAGCGGGGGTGGAACTGGGTGTCCCCCGTCCGCGAGCCTGGCGAACACCCTCGTCTCATCGGTGTCGAAGCAGCCTCGCCCGGTGTCGAAGTCGTCGGGGTTCATCTGGGGGCGATTATTACGACGCGCATAACGTGATGAGGAGGAGGAGGAGGGGGAGGAGGTGAACAACAACGCGCAAAAAAAGTCATACTTACTACTGCTGTTGTCTTTTAAGAAACCGAAATGACACATTAGACTATATAGTCAGCGCTGAACACTCTAGTGACAATCGCTGACTAGCCTAGTCTAATGGTAGCCAGCGCTGACAAGTCTATTCAGTGATTCTCGCTGACTAGTCTAGTATAATGTCGTCAGCGCTGACCAGTCTATTTAGTGATTCTCGCTGACTAGCCTAGTCTCAAGGCTTGACTTCGGCCTCTAAGTGCTCTTGTTCGCCGTCGGATTGACAGCAACAAACGTTTCCGGTCTCCGTACCTTCTAGCACCCGCACCGTTCCAACTGACACGGACGCCTTCCGTGGCCACAAGCTTAAGCATCAACTACTGCACCAATAAAGACGGTATCACACACTTTCGAAATATCAAAAGAGAACAGAAAACGCGCGCCACGTACAACATTGGGAGAAAACCGCTGCACATGAGTACACCCCTCACACACACACACACACCTCCGAGTCTGTGACACGTTACGGACGCGTTGGACCGGTCCTAGAACCGGTTCTAGAACGCGGCCCAACTCACCTGCACCATTTCCTCAACGAGGATGTCCTCCACCCCCACGGGGGACCAGGGGCACGTCCTCCGCAACGGCGGAGCCCCCTCGCTCCAGTGCTTGCCGTTGGCGCCCAGCATGTCCACGCCACTGCAACCGCCGCCGCCGCCGCCATCGGCGGCCTTTCTCTTCGTCCCCGACAGAGATACCGCCTCCGTACCCTGGAAAATGTAAACCCCGAAATGAACATGTGTTTTGTGTTTTCGTCATATTTTATTATGGCGACAGTCCCCCCATACTTCGGGGTGAGACGTGTGCTACACTTTTCAGTGTACGTACTCATGGATCTCCATTTTTCTCTTCATCCTTTCGTTATATTTCGTTTTTTCCCCAAAACCAAACGCTGCACCTGATAATACGTCCTATTTTCCGCAGGACCAAAACACTAAATATAGTTGTAGTACAGTTCTTGTTGTCTTCACAGAAAAAACAACCTCTACCGCCGTAAAATGAACACATTACGAACACACGCGTGCCTGGGGAAGATGACGAATTTTTTTCATTTAAAAAAAAAAAACACACACACACACACACGACAACCGCCTACCTCGGAGGCCGATGCCGATGCCGCCTCTCCCTGCTTCAAGAAAGTCTTCCCCTCCAGCGAACACCGGACCGCGATACCCTCTCCACCGGCCTCCGTGCCCGCAGCGGGAGGAGGAGCGGCGGCGGCGGCGACTGCGGCGCCTCTCTCCACGTCCACGTCCATGGGATCGGACCCGGACGCCTTGGCGGCACCTGCTGCGGCTGTTGGTATTACTGCTGCTGCTGCTGCTGCTGCTGTTGCTGCTGCTGCGGCGGCTGTTGGTGTCGGCGCTGCTGCTGTCGCTGCTGCTGCTGCTGCTGCTGCCGGCGTCTCAGGAGCGGACGCGGCCTCGCTTGTCGCGCCTGCCGAAACTGGTTTTGCTATGGTCGTAGGCGCTGACCCTCTGTCGCTGTAGGTTGGGCCGAAAAGGACCTCTCCAAGTGGTCTCCCCTGGTCACAAACAAAAACAAAAAAGACGAAGCGTCCAAAAGCTTGTGTTGACGTTGTTGGGTCCCTTCCGTTTTGTCTCTGAGGGTTATTTTCCGCATTGTGTGTACGCTATGTGGTGGATGGTTGTCCTGTGACCACGGATGTCAGAAGGCACTGAGCAAAGTCCGGAACGGTGTTCGAAAATGAAGAAAACAAGAACAGCTTTGGACATCAACAGCTTTGGAAACAAACACACAACTCAAGACGGGACTTCGAAGCAGTTCATGGCGGTCAGGCCTATTGGAGCAAAGCGCTACACCCTTGGGAAACACATTTCCCAATAAGCGAGAAGCGCCCTAACAATTGTCGACTCCATCTCGAGGAGCTATCAAGCGGGTTCTCCTCAAAGCACACAAACCGAAAGCCTTCCCGGAGCCGCAAACCCTCGCCCTTCCCGCGCCCCCCTCCTCCGTCACTTCACAGCCCTCCAAAATCCGCCTTGCGCTCTACCAGCAACCACCCCCCCCCCCAGTCCCACACACACACACACCAAACCCCTCCTCTCACCCCAAGGCTACTGATCCCCTTGTCCCCTTCCCCCTCCAGCGTCTCCTCGATGGTGCCGTTCGCCACGTATCGGACCACCGTCACCACGCTCTCCCCCTCGGCCCTGCCCGCCGCCGTGGCGACTCCCCCCCCGTCGACCCTCCCGTTCTCATCCGCCGCCGCCCCCCCGCCCGTTGCCGGCATGCTGCGGATGGCTCTTGGCGCAGAGGAGCGCCTCGCGCACCGGGGCAGCGTGAGGAGGCTCTGCAGCGCCGCCGCTAGTGCTGCCCGAGACCATGACGTCGCTGTTGCTGTTGCTGTTGCTGTTGCTGTTGTTCTTGTTGTTATCGGAGGCCCTTCGTCGAAGATGAGGACGGCGTCGATGGGGCCAAGACCTAACAGAGAACCCCTGCGCACGCTGCTCCCGTCGGGTCTGGGCTGTTCGCCTGCGGAGGAGGGGGGGGGGGTGTACTCATAGTCGTGCATGCCGTAGTCATTAGACCATTGACCTCGCATCCCTACAAAGCCGGGACGGAGCACGCCGGGTTCTCACCGGACCAGGCTCTCACATCACCAAGCGCGAAGCACCGTGAGGTATTTGGCGAGTCGCATGAAGGGTGAGCTGCATCCTGCTAAGGGTGTTCGGCATCTTGTGCTTACTTCCTTGCGTACGGATGACAGCTACGTATGACTTAATTTATTTTCTGGTGCTTTCACTTCCAGAGACAGTTGTAAGCTCTGTGTAACTGCCTCGAGGGTGCTTGACCATTTTAACACAACGTGGTGCGATCATCCCCCGTTGCGCGGAGTGAGGGTCCTCCACCCCGCACAACATGATCTACTCGACCACCATTATGGTTACCGCCAAAAAAAAAAAAAACGAGGTAAAAAAAAAAAAAAAAAACGGTAACCTGGTTGCCGAGTTCACGAAGTGAATTGGCTTGTTTTACAACGTCGTTGCCAAGCGACGAAAACCCAATCCCGATGGCAAACACCGAGCGGGGGGCTCGTTTTACAACGTCGTTGCCAAGCGACGAAAACCCAACCCCGATGGTAAACACCGGGGGGGGCGGAGGAGGGGGGGGGGGGCAAAAAGGCCAGGAAAAGTGGGGGAGAGATGGACGAGGTTATTAGGAATAAGGAGACGGAGTCGCGATAGAGACGGACAAGGGTAGGGAGAAACATGGGGGTCGGGATAGAGGCGAAAAGGGGTAGGGAGAGAAATGGGGTTGGCAAAGAGATGAAAACGGGTTGGGAGTAACATGGGGTCGGCAACGAGACGAAAAAGGGAAAGAACGTATGATGAGGTCGGGATACATGTAGAAGGTGGGATTGGGGTAGAGACGGACAACGTTATGTATACATACCACGGATATTGGTTCGGTACTCAAGGCGATCATCGACAGCACGAACACCAACAACTACAGAGGCAGCAAGCGTACTGCTGTGCAGGTGGATCCCGAGTTATTAGCTACACGATGTCCGAGTCTGACGTCGGCGGAAAAACAAGCGAACAGGCCATACAAAACTCCGAAGAAATTGCCGTTTATCCCGGATTCTTCCATCTGTGGATATATCAAAAAGAGTTGAGTTGAACCTGTTCCTTCTCTTGGAACAAAACCAAAACCAAAACCAAAATCGACAACAGCACAAGCAAGAGCCCGCGCCCTACCGTTCGGGCAGAGGCCAGAACCTCCCGCCACAGCCTCAAGGATAGCCGAAGGCGGCGCCAGCAGCACCGGAGTCCGGGGCGAGCATCTAAAGCGCCAGAGAGGCCCCTGCACTCCGCTCCACAGCCGCTCGTGGGCGGGCTTTGGTGGCGTGACTGGTGCTTGGGGAAAGGGAGACCTGGATATATGTGGAACAGACCACGGGGCGGGGGGGGGGAGGGGCACCGTTGGTATCAACAATTCAAAGCTCACGTTAGCTAGAACAAATTTTGTGGCGGCTGGCTTCGGAGTCGTGGCTGGTGTTTGGGGGCGAGGGGGGCCTGGACACAAGTCAGCCAATGGGCACACCGAAAGCAGTGTTAATAGGTAAGTGTTTAGTTTTGGGGACGCGGTATATCGAACAGACCGGGGGGGGGAGGGCACCGCGGACAACAACATACGAAAAAAAAAAAAGTGCTCACCGTGAAGGGAAAGATCCGAGTGGGTTGTGGTGCGCGCTGAGGGGCGCCAAAGCAGGGGACGGGGATGAAACAGCCCCCGGTGCTGCCACCCCCGGCCCGACGCTGAGAGCGGCGGGAGGGGCTGCGGCCGCCGCACCAGGCGGGCTCCCGTTCGACGCGGCCGGCACCGACGTCGCCGCCGCCGCCGCCGCCGCCGCTGGAGCAGCAGTGCCAGCGTCCACACCTCTCGTGCTCTCCTCTTCGGCGACGTTCGGGAACATCTCTCCGTTGCCTTTGGTTTTCGAAACGTTGATCGAGAATGTATTTACCGACGAGAGACGAGGGGAGAAGGGAGGCGAGTGCGTCGCGGTGGACAAAGGGTAACCTTTATATTCTTTTTGGGGAGGCAAGGGCGACGAACATGAAACAACTCCCACTTTATCGTTCGGCAAAAAACAACTGTGGCGGGGAAAATATACACGGCTGCAGCTTCACGCAAACCACTGCCTTGTCTTGAACTTGGCTGCGAGTCAGTGCCAGCTGAGAAGCAAAAAACACACGTCAACGCCAAGCAAAATGCTCCGCTCTCAAAAGCTTTTCAACCCTCCACATACCAATGCTCAACTACTAGTCCACATGATCACATCAAGACCGAACTCCAGGCATACAAAATAAAAAAAACTGCGGCAGGACGAAGAGGATGCCACAAACTCGAACGGTTACTGCTGCACGTTTTCGGAAAGGATCCGCTTCTTTGGGGATCACCACACCTGCCCAGCACTCGTGAGGCACGTCCGTCTCCACGAGGTACTGGTGCACCAGCAAACGAGCGTCTGGCAGTGCCCCCAGGACCAGCACCTACACACGAAACGAATATATCACAGTAAAAAAAACAAACGCGCAAGACGATTAGGTTCCAGGGGAGCAAGGGAACCAGTACCTTCACAGCGGACAAGTAAGCACTACAAACGCGGCCATACGATTGGGCCATGGCTCCCAAGGGGTGATAGAAATAAGCCGGCACTATCGTGCCCCTAGAACCAGCAGCTACGAACGAACAGAGATACAGCAGGCCAACATGACACGGAAAAGGACTAATAGGCGATGGGTTCCAGCGGTGAAAGGAGGGAATCGGTCGATTTGATTGGTTGATTGCCTTCCTGTGTAGACCAAGAAGAAGCGCACTTGCCGAAACACATAACGCTCGGGGGGGAGGGGGGGGGTACAGTCGATCGTGACATCACGTGATGTGTATCCAACCATCAGAGCCACGCAACACCTCACAAGATAACCAGCACATGTACTAAATAGATAAAAATACTAGTTGTAGTCGATGTTGCGCTGTTATACTACCCCACGCACACACCAAATAAAAGAGCATCCTCTGGATGGCAAGGGCTTCTTGGTGCTGACGCCTTCTGCGCGGTAGTTAGGATAGTACTAAACAAGTATGCATACAACCTTACTTCCCCCGAGACGGCGAGCCTCCAAAAAGAAGAACCCATAATGTTTCAAAATATCAATTCCTTTTCCTTCAAGTAAAACATATCGCACAAGACGCGAATGGACAAAAATTGTTGTGCCTGGACCATAAAATAGGGTAAACTATTTAATACCCCGGAGAACGTGAGAAATAAAAGGATAAAATACTACCCCAGCGGTAAAAAAAGACACGAGTAGGATAAATTGCTACCCCAGAGAACAAAAGAAACGAGTCTCCTCGGGCAAAGAAAGAGGTTCTTCAGCGTTCGGCAAACTTATGTTCACACGGGTCGTGTCGCCTCGTATCTACCTTCTTTCCCGCTGCGGCGAGTCGCGCCACAGCCCTGCCAAGCTTGGCCAGCTTGCCGGAGTACTTCTCTAATCGCTCCGGAACGCTGAGTTCCAAGTCCTGCAAAAAAAAAAAAATGATAATAATATTAGTAAAAAAGATGAACGAACCATGTGAAAAACTAGATGGGAAGGACGGAGTTCCAATTCCAGCAAAAGAAAAAAGGAACACAGAAGGACGGTCCAAACACGTGAGACATGAAAGCTATATAATAATAGACATGTTCTGGCATTGCAGGGAGTAACGCAAGGACTTTCAGCAGGGTCCACGTGTTTCCAGTTTTCGGCAAGGTGTCGTTCCATTTTGGCCTCCGAACTTTCACACCATCCCTGCTGACAAAAAAATATCGAACGGGTGTGTAGTCCTTCTGTTCTCGTTGTGTGTGTCCTATCTAAAACAAACAAAAAAAACACACACACACAAACTCTATAAACCCGCATGTGTCCCGGGCTCAATCTCAATCCAAGACGTACACCTTGTCAAAAACTCCTCCTGCTGGGCCTTTCCTGACCTCAACAACTCCGCCCCAAAATTCTCCATAAACCCGCATGTATCCCGATCTCAACACCTACCCACCTTGACGTGCCCCCCTCCAAAACTCCTCCTTCTGAGCCCTCCCTGACCAGAATCCCCCCCCCCCCCAAAAAAAAACAACCTCTATGCATCTATGCATACAAACCTTGACCTCAATCTCAATCCAACCCACCTTGACGTGCCCCCTCCAAAACTCCTCCTTCTGAGCCTCCGCCTGCCCGGCGGACAGCAGGGCGCCGGGGGGCGGCGGCTTCTCGAGGGCGCCGGTCAGCGCCGCTCGCCGCAGGGCCAGCAGCGCCTCCTCCATGGCACACCCCCCCGCCCCCGCCCCCGTCGTAGCGGGCCCCCCTTTTGCTGCCGACAACGACGCCGCCGTTGGAGGTGGTGGTGTTGTTGCCGGGGTAGATAGACCGTTCGAAGCGAGCGCTGGGGGAGGAATGGTGGTTCCTTCCCCGGAGAGAGCGGCCACGACCTCACGCGATCTGCCGGGGGGGGGGGAGGGGCGCAACCCAAATTACAACCGAGTTATTTATACTTGTGGGTGTATGATCGCATGAGACAGTTCATCTCTCCTGAATTGGGGGTATGCGGAGTGGTTTCACGCTAGCTCGTCTTGAGGCCAAAAAACAAAATAACTGTCGGGAGCGTCGCACGAAAAACAAGCGGAATCGTCGTCCAGAAACCACAAGCGACGAGGCAACAAAAAGGTACATGGCCAAAACTCGCCACACAGACGGAGCGGCAGCCTATGACGTCATCAGAGCTCCCTCCCTGCCGTCAACAGAGCCACAACCCACCCAACTGCACGCACTGCTGTACATGAGCGGCAACCTATCACGTCATCAAAAGTCCCCTCCCTGCCGCCAAAAGAGCCACAACCCACCCACTGCGCGCACTGCTGTACATGAGCGGCAACCTAATCACTTCAGCAAAGCCCCCCCCCCGCCCTCTTCACTCACCTGGCAACGGCCGAGTAAACCTTGGCTTGCGGCTTGGTCATCGCGCACCGAACCACGTACTCCTTCACAACAACTCCTCCTCCTCCTCCCCCCCCCGGACCC